TAAACTATTAACACGAGGCTGTCGCCAGCGTTTTGTGTGTGCGCTTGCAACAGACCAATAGAAAGGGATGGCACAGGAAAGAGGCAAGCGACACGGGCGACAGAGGAGGCAGAGCGAGAGCGAGAGTGAAAGCAATTTGGCACGAATTTGTCATGCCATCGAAGTGGCAACAAATTTGGCTGCAACACAGCCAACAGCAACAATGATAGGTACAGCCTTCACAGGAAGCTCTAAATACCCTTGCAGATGCGAGCCATTTATGCATTGTTCTTGTGACAGCACCGTGATATAGTGGTAACTATGTAGAGGTGACCAGAGACTACCTCCCATAAAGGACAATTGGTTTTTTATAGGAAATGATTATAGTAACTGCAATGGACGTACGATGTAGAGTGCCGACGAATGCAAAAACAATATATATGTCATGTGCATGACGAAGTGCATTCAAGGTACAACTCGAGACTAGGTTTGGGCACCATAGACAGGTCTAACATCATCACGTCCTCTTTGATGTAGAGTATACAAAACGATGCCAACTGCAATGGGCGATGGGCTGGAGTGGAGCACAAATTCCGACATTTATGTGTGCGGCCAAGAGAGTAACCCTAATGTGTCAGTGGGCCGGGACAGCCGTTGGCCGTGAGGGGGTCCTGTTCCTGCTAGTTGGCTGGTGTGCTTACTTAGCCTCGTTGACACGTTTAGTTGCCATCTAACACATATAGACAGAAACACACACGAAGTGAGAGAGAGAGAGAGCGGGGAAAGGGAAAAGGACGAACACTTGCACATCCTTGTATCCGTATCCTTGTGTACTCGGAGCAAATCAGAAACAAGTCAAAGGTAAAACGAGCATTGTAATAATGCTGATGGCATCCCACAGAACGAGCCAAAAACGTTGACTGGGGGGATGCCCCCGAGAGAGTGCTTCCCCGTCTGAGTCTCAGTGTGTGTGTGGGTGTGTGGCATACAAAAATGCAAATTTGTTGGCCATTTGGTAAATTGATTTTGCCATTGCAATTGGCCAATATTCAATGAGTGTCTACCGGGGCTAGGGCCATAAACCAATGGCAAAAACGACGACCATAAAGAAATGATAGAAAAAACGCTTTAAGATGCCTCCAACGATGCCACTTCCTGCTGATCATTTATTGATGGCATCTTAAATTAACGCACACATTAGGAATTGGGATGGGATTAGGCAAGCATCCTTATTTTTAGTGTGATGATCGAAGAGATTTCCAAGCAAAATACAAGTTTATTCGATTGTTTATTAAGCAGCTTTCATGATTTATTTTATAATGTGATGCCACAAGGTCTGGGAAGTGAATTCAGTGAAGGAGAATTCCAAGAACATCATTCTTGTCGTGTGCATGATACGCCTCTCGAGTTCCGCTGATATGATTTGTTCTATACCCCGCTGATTTAATTGATGAACATTTTCCTTTGAATTCTTGTTTTGTAATTAACTCAGAGCTCCCTTGGAGCCACAGCTCCCCATAGATTGTCCTCCTCCATTAGGATAACTTTTTCATTGTGTTTCATACATACGCGAGGCATAGCCTGCCTGCCATTGAAAACCCAATTATAAAAGTGTAAACAAAATGAATCAAAGTTTGGCCGCAACTCAAACCAAAACAGCAGCAGACCAGACCAGACCAGACCAGACCAGACCAGAGCCACACAGCGCATTTGGAGCATGCTGGCGGCTGCCACAAAATGCAAAAACAATCAGAAAACAAAAACGAAAACACTGACCCACCCATCAGCACACAAAACTATTCCCATATTCCATATTCTATTCCCCCCAGTGCCCAGATATATGCAATCGGGCAAGCTGTGCGTGGCACACGCGGCGGATGAGGATTTTTACCTGATGGTGCAGACTGTTGTAGTAGCGGGTTACGTATGCGGGCAGCAGCTCGGCCGTCTCCAGACCAATCCACTGGAATACCTCCAGATGGGGTTGCGGCTGAGGCGCTGAAGCGGCATTGCCCAAAGCGATGACGGCGGCGGCGGTGGATCCGGAGCAGCAGCAGCCACAGCAACAACACACTTGCTCCTGCCTCTCATCGTTGGCCGCCATTCAGCAGAACGGGCAACCTCACAACTCTCCACGTTTCTTCGGTTTCTCTATGCTGCGCTGCTGCTGTTGTTGTTGTTGTTTTCTTATCAATATTATAATTTGATTATTTGTTCCTGTTCTACAGCATTTAATTTTGAGTTTTTCCCTCCACTCCCTTTTGGGTATCCAGTTGCCTGTTCTTGTTGGTGTTTTAGAGCAGGTGAAACACATTTGAATTTAAATTGAGTTATGCTGGCATACTAGTAGTCGACAGCTGCGGACTGGGACGAAGGAGTCTCTTCTTATGCCGCCAATTTATGAGCAGGGCAATGGCGCGTCCCCAGCGCCATGGAGAAGCACCAGCAGCAGCAGCAGCAGCAGCGGCAGCATCATCATCGTCGATGGTGGCACTACAGAGACCGGTAGCGGTAGCGGCGGCAGTGGCTGCCATTTTGTCAATTGCTCCCATGTGGATTGAGATGCCGAAACACGTGGCTGACAGCGCGACTCCAGTCGAGAGGAAAAACTCGCGCGTAATTGGCACACTGACACAACGACACGCACTAAAACACTCCAGAGACAGGCTCCCGGTTCCCGGGTACTGCAGCGGCTATACGGATATACGGATATACGGATATACGACAACGGGTACGTTTACGAGTCCCGCTCCGGGTTTAGACTCCTGTTAATTGGGTCAAGCGAACAGGAGAGAGCGACAGAGAGAGCGAGAAACCCACTGGAGAAATAGACGACTCCTGACGAAGGTTTCCCGCCCAAAAACAAAAAAAGAAACCAACAAAAAACCAGAGCTCACACACACAAAAAACAAACTCCAGTTGTAGCCGTTTCTGTGGTGTGTTGGTGTATGGGATTGTGGCGCCTCGTTAGCCGTCTCTTTTCCACATGACTGGGCAAGTGTCAAATAAATCAAAATGCGAATCCGAGGCGCGGCGCGGCGCTGCACGTTCCCTAGTGGCGACTGCGCCGCAAACTAAACTGAAAATTGTGCGCGCTTTTTGTTTAAGTCAATCACGAGTGCTCCGTTTGGCTAGAGAGGGCGGGGAAGCGAGAGAGAGAGAGAGAGAGCGGGAGGCTGTGAGAATGGCCTGCAGTTGACGCTGCAATGTGCAGCGCAACGAGAGAGAAGGAAGGGGACCCAGAGAGAGAGAGGACCGAGACCAGAGACCAAGAGCTTTTGCTGCAAGCTTGGACCAGGTCCGGGGAAAACTCTTGTTGCTGCTGCAGCCCTGGACATTCAGTTCTTATTCTAGTACCTCCCCCACAACCACCCTCCTCTTCTCTGCCTTCCCATCAACTATTCCCCAGCCCCCACGATGTGTATATAGCATTAACACATTCCTTCCTAGCCTGAGCCTGCATTTTGCTGCTGCAGTTGTTCATATTTTTCTTTCATTCTTTGCGCACTCTTTTCTTTCTTTTTTTTTGTAGCTGGATTTATGAAAATGAGACGCCAGACAGAGGCCGAGCTCGAGTCCGAGTCCGAGAGCAAGTCCTGAAGTGGCGCAAAAATAAATAAAAGGAGGCACAGAGGCAACGGACGCCCAATCCACAGAAGCACAGCAGCAGGCAGAAAAAAATGTGTAGTCTGCTTCAAGGAGCAATTAACGACAGTGGATAGCACAGAGTTATGTTATAGCATTTTGGGCCTCCATATCACACTCAGGCAGACATCCCAGAAGTTTCCACTTCTCCCCCAAGCGAGAGAGCGAGAGAGCGAGAGAGAGAGGGGGGGTGTTGCAGAAAAAGTATTCTTAATACCCTAGCTTATGAGTGGGGTATATGAGGCGGGGGTAAAGCAATTAAGACCTCAAAGGAAAAGTCTTGCAAATGATGGGCTAGCTTGACGGATCCCATGGATATTTCTTCAAGTTTCCCTTTAACAAATACAGCGAAAAGTTTTCTTGATTTAATTTATGCATAATTCCATAATTCCAAGAACTTTTGGATATTCAAATCCACTTAAATGAGATGTTTACTTGAAATTTGACGACATATTTATCGCCCATTTAAAGGTCACTTAAATGCTATTTTGAATAATCAATTTGAACAGTTGAAACCCATCGGGAATCATATTAAATTCAGTTTTGCACTGAACCCCTCAAGGAATCATCAATTTCAGTTATTTTTCATTAATGTCCGCAAGGATATTTGATATTTCATTCAAATGCAAAACTCGGTTCGGTTTTTTTTCTACACCTTTTTTTCGCTGTTTCGCTATCGTTAAATGTTTTTTGTGTGCCCGGGTTTTGCAGTACCACAACGACGATGGCACTTGAGCTGTGTAGCATACTTTTCAGCGCAAAAAGCCTTTAGGGGTGGACCAGACCAGACCCGGCCAGGAAAGGAAACGAAACGAAACGAAACGGACCGGGGCCCTAGGGGTGCCTGTGTCGCGGATGTTGGCTTTGTTGCGGGCTTCTGGTACTCGTATTCCTGCTGCTGTTCGGGCAGAAGTGGCAGCAACAGCAACAGCAACAGCAACAACGTCCGAAAATTCATTTTGGTTTATTCTGATTAAATTGTTTGTATTTGGTTGCATTAGCAGGCATTGTTCCATGAGCATGGACACGAGAGTGTACGAGTATGTGTCTCTGTTGAGGCAAAGGATTAGTGACTGTCTGCGCTCCGGGAGTGATGGCACTGTGCATAGTGGCTCTGGGTTTAGCTCTGCCTTGTTTGCCCGCACTAAATACATTTCAAATTTGTTTCAGCTTAAGCCGAAACGAATTTCAGGAGAGCCCTCGAGTGGCACACAGAGATTGATATGACCACAGAGAGAAAAGTAAAGTAAAGAAGGAGCAAAGCTCTGTCGTGATTGGCAGATTATTACGAAATAAAGCCTGAGCCTGCCACAAAATGCCACACGGCACACAGCAAAGTAAGAGTAAATAAAGCACAATGGAGTGGGGTAACTCACCTGCATGTGTGGAGCGGCCAGCAGCAGCATCAGCTCGTCCTTGGCATACTTATTGGCCACCGAGCTGCCGCCCGTCGACGAGAGCGTCTCCAGCACATCCCGACTGCGTGTGACCGCCTCTGCGGCCGGCGCCCTGCCATTGCTCGTGACGACTGTCGAGGTGATGCGGTCGAAGAGCTGCAGCAACTGGTGCAGGCGACTGTCCCGCAGCATATCCCTCATCACATCCGCATCCACGTGCGCATCCTGCAGCGAATAGATATCGTCCAGGCAGTCCAAAATACGCTGCACCGCCTCGATGCCCGCCTCCTCGTCGGCCCACTCGTCGGGTGCTCCAGCAATGGGCACTGCAAGATCGGGAAATTGATTAGAATTGACAAAAAGAAAGTCTACGAGTGGCAGCACTTACTGTCCGCATCTGTGACATAAACGGGATCCATGGTGGTGCCGCCGGCGATGGCCTGAACGGCTCCCTTGAGCTTGCGCCGAGCATTGTAGCGTTTCAATTCCTCCACCGTTTCTGCGAGATGTGTTCGCTGTAGCTTGTCCCGATCCCGTATCCACGGATGGTCGAGCACCTCGGTGATGGAAAGTCTGTGATGTGGATTGGCGGCCAGCATTTTCATGACTAGATCCTTGGCATTAGCCGAAATTGATTTCCATTCAGGCGCCTCAAACTGCAAAAGAAATGAAACACAAGAGGTTAATGGACGCCAACCCGCAATGAATCCTTTGAGACCACTCACCGAGAGCCTGCCACGCGCTATCGACTGCTGTAGTCGCACTCCGGAGCCCAGAAATGGCAATCTACCCGAGAGCAGGACATGCAGCATTACACCAGCGCCCCAGACATCGCAGCCCTTGCCGTACAACCGCCTGGTAACAACCTCCGGCGCCATGTAGTGCGGACAGCCCACGCGTCCATGTGTTTCTATGGTTTCCCTCGTCCCCGGCAGCTGTATGGCCGAACCGAAGCCACCAAGCTTCACTGGCGCCGAGTTGTCCACGGTGGCGAGCAGCGCACAAGCAGGACGCACGTCCCTGTGCAGTATATCGTTCTCATGGCAATATCGCAGCGCCTCCAGTATCTGGCGCATGTAGTGACTGCAAAGATTACAAGATGTTAAATAGAGTGCTTATAGAGGGTTTTGTACTACGGATGCGTGTTTGTTTCGGTAAGCTAAGGACTTGTTAAATACGAGTTCTAAACTTAGAAACTAATCATTAAGAGACTGCAAAGCCAGCTGAGGGTTTTAACCTCTCTTTAACAATTAAGGGAATGGCAACCATATTTCTGTTGCACAAATAAAAGCCTAGATACGTTTATGGCTTTTGCAAGTATAAAGAAAGATCTACAGCAATCAAAACAACTAACGATTAAACGCAATTTTCATGCGTTGAACATCATGAAGCTCAATTTGGACTTTAGTGTCTCATATGTTTAGGAGTCATTAAAATCTATTCGGCATCTAATTGATGTGTGCATTTATTACACTCCTAATAAGAAAAGATTATCCCCATAGGCCTATCGGAGCTTCGGCAAATACTACAAAACTATGCAAAATATACACAATTCCCGACTACTATTGACTATTGTCATGCTAGCTTATAGGCATCCTCTTGGCAAAAACACACATCCATGGCACATGTTTGTGTTAAAAGCTACGCCCTGCTGCTCACCAAGCAACTGCCTCGCTGTAGACAAAACCGGCAACGGCGCGACGCACAACCTCGAAGCACAGGTCGGAGCCTTCCATGCTGTAAATGTGTAAAAATGGAAAATGTGAGTAAATGAAGGGTTTTGGTTTGAAGGGGAAGGGAAGGGAGAACTTACAACTCGAACACCATGTAGAGCATGCCCTCGGAGCTGTAGGTCTCGAGCAGCTCGACAATGTGCGGATGCTTCAGCATGTGACATATTGTGGCCTCGCGCTTCAGATCTGCAATGGGAGTGAAAGCAGAGAGAAACGGCAATTAGTTGACATTAGATGGAAGCCTAAACAGTTGTATGGCCAGCACCCAGCTCCCACCCAGCTCCCACCCAGGTCCCACGCCCAGCTCCCACGCTCGACACCAGCTGGCAGTGGCACTAATGGACTTAGCGCTGACTTATGTCCCTGCCATGCATCATTTAGTCAATGGCCGGGTTTTGGTTGGGAAGTCCCAGTTCGCGTCCAGGTCCAGGCATCCTTGCACTTGAGCAATTTCTTTTTAATTGGCATCTTGGGCCGCCAGATGCCTGGGGGGCCCAGCTACACGTGTGCCAGCAACATAATTTTGAATAATTGAGCAGCTTAATTATAATTTATTCACACAAAAACTGTGCCTGTCAGGCCAAATCGAACAAGGTCGCCTCCCATTCTGAAAAAAAAAACCAAAAGCAACAACAAATATATGAGAACACTCACCCGCTGTGCTCAGTCCTGGACTCGCTGTGAACTTGGCCACATCCACGATTTTAACAGCAAACTGCTGGTTGGACTCTCTGTGTATACATCGTCGCACAATGGAGAAGGGTCCTCTGCAAAGGGATGGGGAAAATGATGTAGTTGAGACGAAATTTAAGTGCAATTTTAGGGGGTCTACATATATTGGAGAGGAAAGTACGTTTGACTATTGTTTGGCCATAAAAATGTGCCTCAATGAAACCTTCGTATACCCTGAAAAAGGGAATTCTTGAACAAGTTTTTGCAAAATTATTTTTAATTAAAGGTGGGACAGAAATATTTTGGCCCTGTTCCAAAAATATGTGGAACTTAATAACTAATAATTAGAAAACTTCTCCTACAAAAGTTATCCCTAATTGTTTTTTTTGCCAAAAACAAATCACAGAAATATTTGCCATATTATTTCAGACTGTTCCTTCAACTTTGACCTGGTAAACTATGCAAAAACGGACCAACCAACTTTGGGACACAACTATGATCCTATCAGGAGTGTAGCTGGCCAACACAACACAGAAATTTCGTTAGAGCAGCATCAATTTTTGAATAATGCAAAAGTTGGTGAGAAGTTTGCCAACTTGTTCCTGCATTTCTTGTGTAGGCTGAGGACTGAGTAGGGGTAAGATGTTAGGACATGCATAATGAGATAATGGCAGCCGTCAATAGCAGCAGCAGCAGCAGCAGCAGCAGCAGCAGCCGCTCGTTGAGCTGCTGGTGGTGGGGGAGAAACTTACTTGCCAATGACCTCGCACAGCTCGTAGACATCGTCAAAGAGAATTTCGTCTTCGGTCATTTTGAATAATTGATGAATTGATGCTGATGCTGCTGATGGTTCGCGTCTCAATTGCTTTTTCGAATATTGATGAGTGGGGCGTGGGTGGTCGTGGCTTGTCCGGCTTGGTCCTAGGTGTACGTGTACCGCCGTGTCCAACCCGCTACGTGTTCGTCCTTGCTCCTGGCCCTGTTCGCCTACTGCCCTCCAAAAGCGAACACAAAAAAAATTAACAAAAAAAGATCCCAAAACCGATGGGCACCAGGAGACCAACTCTTTAACAACTTGGCGCTCTTGTGGGTTGTTCTTCTTGCTGCTGCTGTCGTTGGATGTTCTTGATGTTTTTCGCTTCCTTGGTTATGGCTGCCTCTCTCTCGCGTTTAACTGATGCTAAAGATACATTTTGTGGCTGCAAAATAGAGAACCAAACAGAGTAATGCTTTTTAGTAAAGGAAATGAGTATGGCCAGTGGCCATCCAACCGCCAACAGGCTGTCAATCACAGGCGGCTCTGCCCTCTTCAGGTGAGCTCGATTCCGAACCCAAATCAATTACAGCACATTCCATGATGTGTGGGGGGCAGGAAGGAAGCTTCACTGTCAACGTTTTGAATTTTCCAACGGAAATGATGAGCGGTCCGGACTCCCGAGTTTTTGGGCAACAAAAACGTAAACAAGCCTTCAAAATGTCAGGCAACAAAGGGGGGGTAGGGTTTGGTGGGGCTCCAACTCGAGGTGGGCGGTGTGCAAGGGGAGGGGTACGTTGCCCTATAGCTAGTTCCTTTTGCTATTGTCTTGGTCAGAGCCGTGCACTATTATTATGCCCATTTGGGACCCCAAGGGGCACTCTTGGCAGGCACTCCAAAAAGTCCTACATAAGGGGCGCCCAGAAAGGAGAGACAAATGGAGAGCCTACAGAGAGAGAGAGAGAGAGAGAGAGCGAGTCGTAGAGCAGGCGCAGGCGCCCCAATGGCTGTCCGTGTGAAATAGCAATTGTAATCGTAAAAAAATATAAGCTATGCTTTGCTCGAAAGTGGCTCTTGAGCTGGGCCAGGGCTCTGCTGCATGAATATTTAAATATGCAACAATTTACGATGCACTCACAGGACACACACGCACACCATTGCCAACTAACACACACACACGGATAGAGGCGAGTAGGGAGCCCTGGACCGGGACAAGTGTCATGTTTAATGCAGAGCTGCGCATGGGGCGCGGTGCTCGAAGCTCGAGCGAAGGTTTTACCTTGCTCGTGTGCCACCGCTGCCACCGTCGCAGTCGCCGTTGCCGCTGTTGTAAAATGCCTTGACACTTGCCACTACACGACCTTACCTCACACACGGACGCACACTAATGCACACACAAACACACACACACACACACACAATCCCGCTGCTAGTGCTGCTGCTGCTGCTGCTGCTGCACTTGTCACCAGAGCGACACAAGTGCCACCGCCTTCTCGGGCAATTGGGAAATTGATTCTTTGTCTAGAACTAGGGATTACAAAAGGATTTGCATTGCTCTTTCACAGTCGCAGCAGCCACCACACAACACCCCCGCACAAGCACACACATTCCGCAACACACACACACACACACACACACACACACATACGAGGATTGGTATGTATTTTTTTGTACAAACCCCTGTTCAAAGACTCGCACCGAAAGTTGTGGGCCCTGCCCCTCAGCGACAGAGTATTTAACACACCAGCGGCACTAATAGATCGCGCCTGGGTTGACGTCAACACATAGAAACGCTCAATAGTTTAATTAATTTCGTATTTTCCACTAATTTTGGTGCTAAAACAAACACTGGCACCCGTTCATAGTTGGTGGTTGTACACGAATAACTCACGGCGTCCACGGGATCGTAACTCTAGATATTTGACATAAACGAGCCCTTATTGGACTTTTCCCAATTGTAGGCAACGGTATTTGATTTTACTTAATGGTAGGCAAAGCGTATTACAATTTATATTTTTATTTAAAATCCAATTGGAACGCACATATGAGTCGAGATTTAGTGTGACCCTCCCGAAATACCAAAGAAATATACCAAACCATTTACAAACAAAAAACATACCAATCATGGTTTGTCCACTTTGGAAAATATCTTGTAAATTTTCTATTTTCCACTCATTTTATTGTTATGTCCAATAACCGAGGATAAGGCGTTAAAAAATACCGTCAGAAACTCACAAATGTACCAAAATATACCACACAAGTTTATTAAATATACCAAAATATACCAGTGAGTATTAACCCACCACACACCATACCAGTTTTGAACGCTTCTTGTGAATGCATTATATATTTTATCTTTACAACAGATACAACATATTCTAGCCAGTTGGCTTAGACTATCTTAATCTACTTGATGCACAGGAGACTCATGTTTTATTTTGTTTCAGTTCCTTTGAATTGGACTGCTGATTCCGACTGAAAAATACTAGAGCTTCTATAATTTTATTGTTGTAACGTGTTTTATCATTTTTGCGTTTGTCAAAGGACGGCCACTTTATTATGTGCGTGGGAAATTTTAAAAATATTTCATAAAAATAACGAAAAAATAGCTATTGGACAATGTAGAAATATTCTGCCAACCGCTGATATAATAATAAACAAAAAATTGTTTCAGATGTTATCTTATTGTTCATTAAATTGTTTCGATCACACTGAATTGAATCAATATTGACTTTGCTCACAAGTGCATAACGGGTATTACGGTTGTAAATTGTATTTGCATTCATAACGGGAAATGCCCACTGACATCTGTATGATTTCTCCTAATCCCTTGGGAGGATCCTCTGCTCAACACTCCTTATATCTGGGATCATTCTCCCTCCATAGAATAAAGCCATAATATTTACATTTTCTTCTCAGGCCATTCAACATTATCTATTATTATTATTATTGCCTCGTAGCATTTGATAAACCCATTAGAATAAATTAAGATCTCGACATTAATATGCCAGTCACAGATACCGCGAAGAAGAACCCGAGAACCCACACAGAAGACGCGAGCCGTCGTAGGTGCGTAATCTGTAAATCAGCTCTGACAGAGGGCAAAGGATTGGGGCAAGGCAGGCACCCGATGCGATCCGATCCCCATGCTCAGAACATAAACATCATCAATTACAAAACTCTCGAACAGCAACAAAGTTGTGGAGGGGCAAGAACAATAAGATAGGGGGAATAACAGCAAAACAAAACAAAAAGAAACAACAAGAACCAAAATGAAGAGACAACAGCAAGAACAAGAGAATAAGAACTATGGGACAAAAATGGTAAACTTTAAATGATGTAAAGATAGATGATCCTGATTTCATCTAAGCAAATTTCAATTTATTTGAGACATTCTTAACATACCTTTACATGTGCAAAGCATCCTGAAGGACTGCTTGCTCGAGCGTGTTTTGCAAATTCCCATTTCGTGTCCATTGCCCAACCTCCTCCCATCTTTAGGCAGAAGAACAACAAGAACATGACAGAGAATCGCAGTGCAGTGTTCATTTGTTGTTTCTGCTGTTACCCTCGTTGCTTGACAAAAGGCACAGAGAAAGGGCAACAAAACAAACCAAACAAAATGGAGAGAAACCCAGAGGGACAAAAAAAGGGGAAGGCTGAGAGCCACTCAGGTGAAATCAAAATCAAATTCAACGCCAGCGACGAGCGTACCTACATATAGCTATACCTATCCCTATCGCTGTCCTGTCCTGTCCTGTCCCTATCCCTGTCGCCGCTGATCGTCATCATTTGGACTTGCGACTGTCGCGCTTAATGCGTGTGGATGGACATGAACGTGTAGGATTCGAATTGACATTATAAAAACTGGTTTGGTCTGCTGCCAATATATTGCCGGTTACGCTTCGTCCTACACGGCAAGGCACTGCCGACGCGACGTCGACTGCAACGCCAACGCCAACGCCAACTCCAACGCTGACGCCAATGTCTGTCTCTTCTTCTGCGTGTACCTGCCTACTTGAATCTGATTCCTGTTCGTTGTTGCTGTCTCTAGGACACTACCTTTGCCGGCGGCGGGTAACTAGGAAACGAAAGAGAGAAGCAAAAAAGGCGCGCCAAAAAGGTTAGGTGCTTCTCCGAGTCAAGAAAAGTACATCTGATCCGATAATGACAGTCGATGTTGCCTAGCAATCAAAAGATTTCAGATTTGTGCATTTGTGTTCAGCGGCTCAGCAAGAAGATTATGTAATGCTTATGGGAGGAGTGCAGGGCGTACTTTGGGACCTGTCAAAATGTGAAACTATTGGGAAAAATCAAAACAAAATAAGTCAGATAAAGGTATTGTAAGTTTTGGATAAACGCGAGATTTAGAGAACCCATTTAATAGTTAATAAATAGAAAAAGACTCAAAGTTTTTACTGCTAGCTACATATGTTAGACAGATATCTTTGGAGCTGTAACGAGACTACTTATTGTGGATGCACGCATAAAAGGGAAATACTTTCATGGGATTATCACTAAGGAAATGGTTTAATGGCAGTCATAGAAACTGTACGTAAACTTGATAGCTGGATGGATGGATTAGCAGCAACTGACACAGCATCATTATAGAACGTCATTTCACCCTTGCCACCACTCATGACTCCTTCTCTATTTCTCCTTCGCTTGATCCTGTTATGGCATATTGAGTTAATGTAGTCAAATTACATTGCCTGGAAATGCATCTTCTCGCATCACATCGCATCGCATATTCATTTACCAGACCAGCTTTGAGCCCATATGGCAGGGCAACAGCAGCAGCAGCAACAACAGCGGCAGCGGCAGCAGCAGCAGCAGCAATTAACTGCAAAATGTCATTAACCAGCGTCGTAGGTGAGAGGAACAGGCTGGGATGGACAGACACGGACACGGACACGGACACAGACTGACATATGACAGGCACATCAAGCGGGAGAAGAGACCGACCCAACCGACAGAACCAGCCCAATCCGGCAGAGCCCGGTTCAGCATCACTAAAAACGCCCTCGCTCGGGCCAAGCCCCTCTCCTGTTCGGCCCACGCTACCCTACCAGTCCCAGTTCCAGTCCCAGTCCCAGTCCCATGGCTTGTGTATTATGTTCCCTGACGTTCCACCTTTACCATTAAACGCTTGATTAAATTTCACTACAAATCGCCCCTGGGCTGGGGGAAATTTTGTACATATGCCCAGAGCGTATTCGTATAGGGATATGCATATCCATCCATTATTGGAAAAAGGTCATCCTCAGTTTTTCAGTGTTGTCCATATGTTGTCTTTGGTGTTTAGACATACATCCATCCATCCACCTATCCCATTCCTTTCGATCGCATCTGATCCCAGCCCATCTGCTGAGTGTTTTGACTGTCATCGCAATTAGAAAGCTCTGATAGCCGTGCTCTTCCTCCCTCTCCGGTTTTTTGCTGATCTCACTTACCGCACATTTCTTGCATTTCATTTCCCATGAAACATGTTCCCTTCCGGCAGTGTCACAAGGAGCGGGAGTCGGGAAGGGTAGCAGCGGATAGGAGAGGAGAGCACCGGAGAGTGAACAGTTGGGGAAGCCTAAAAAGTGCGCAGCAGCGAAACGCGGTGAGAAAATGTTTTGCATTATTTACATTTTTACTGCAGTTAGTTATGTTCTGTTCTGCTCTCTCCTCTCCACTGAGAGAAATTTCAGGTTAACTTTTTGTTTGTTTAAATGTTTTTTCCACATCTGTTTTTAATAGATTTGTTAGGAAACGAAGATCCGTGTACTATTTTTTACTGTTGCAGAGCTTTCATTCTTTTTTTTCTTTCAGTGTTGTAGCCGCTCACTGATCTCTTCTGCTGTCTCGCTTTGGTCATTATTCCCCTGCAGGACATCCGTCATCCGTTGCGCTTTTGCTTTGCTTGGTTTTGTTTTATCGCTTGGCTTCCTGCTGTTCTGGCTCTTCTCCTTCTCCTTCCTCTGCCGCTACCGCTGCTGCCGCTGCTGATGGTGCTCTCATTAACAAATTGTCAGGTGTGTGCGCTGGCGTCAACGTCGCAGCCTCTGCCGCTGCCGCTGCAGTTATTCGTCATGCTTTGGTTAATCAGCACAGAACCGAACCGAAGCGGAGTGGAGTGGAGCGATTACGACGTCGTCAAAAAAAGAGAACAGAAACTGCCGTCCAGAACATGCTTGCAATTCAACTGTAAAAGCATTTAAACGGAAAGTTTGTCGGCTTCCCTAAATTGTTCGTCTCTTAGGCGGCCCTCTTTCCTATTACTCCATCTTCCTTTCCGCTCTTCCCCCTCCATCGCTTTTCCCGTTCTTTTCCCCCATCTCTTATTGTCAGTTCTTCTCGTTGTCTGTGTTTACCTGTTGCCTCGTAAACAAATGCCGGGCTTAATCAATTCGTAAAACCGTTCAAACTTCAAGTGATAACAAACAAAGGCGAGACGACGCATTGCAAGAAAAGAAAATCCCAGGGATCGGATTCTGTCCAACTCCAGTCCACACACTCAGTGTACCATACCGCCGTATCCAGCTCTGGACGGTCATCTGCTGGGATGGGGATGCTTCATGTTTATTTTCTCACACAGGCGGCAAAACAAATAAATTCCAGTTGTTTCCCCTTTTCAGAATTGATTTTGAAAACCTAATCAAATTTACCAGCCTCTGTACTTATACCCTAGCCCCTTGCTGGGTTGTATGAGCCGGAGTATATTGGTTAAATCAGCCAACTCAATTCAATTATTAAATTAATCTACGGAATATACTAAGGATAGAAGAAAGTGTACATATATATCATAGTCTTTAAAATTCCTACATATGTCTTTGATATTAGGAACCATGTCATTCCCATGGATTTATAATATATGTTTCTTCTTCTAGGCACTAGATTCTAGGGTATCTCCAGAGCGACTCTCGTTGGCTGTTTCCTCTTTCTCTCCTCTCTCATTACTTATCGACGACCACCACCAGGCAACTGTGGGTGTGGGTCCGAAGAGTCCCCCAGTCACTATTCTGTAATTAAATATCCAAATTAAG